TTCAGGCTGCCTGACATTCAGAGCGTTAGCCTCTAGATAACCAGCAATGCAGCTGCAACTAAACAGGGTAGACACTATAGTTATAGTTACAATAGTTTCTCTTCTAACCAGGTTTTGACCAGTGCCTATTTTTACAGCACACACGTTTTAGCAATATAGAACTGAAAAGGATTTCTCTGAAGATGACCCAAGCAATTCCATACTGACCACTCTCAATGGCTCTCATTCCATTGCCAATGTCAGCAGCACAAATTGGAATGTCTGAGCAGAAGGGGACTTTCTATCTCAATGCATTATCTGTAAGAAGTAGTTGTATGAACACTTCCCATCTTAATTTGAACTTGCACAGCATCATTCAAGACAACATGGTTGCATAAATGTAAGTGTAGAATTTGGACCTGCAATGAGAAGTCAGAAATTCTGCTAGACCAGAACTGACCTCTCTTCTGTGTGCAACTAGAGGAGCAATTGCTTATTTATCACTAGAGCAAGATTAATTATTCTTAACATTAAAACAAAATAAAGCATCTGAAGTGGATCCGAAGCGCTTTGGATGATCTGACCCGCTTTGCATAAGTTTCCTGGGCCCACGATTTGATCCGGGTGTGCTGCTTCGGACGCTGAAGTGTCTGAAGCGGCACCAGAAATGAAACGGGATCCAAAGACTCACGCACCCCTAAAGGGGATCTGGAATAATCTCCCCCTGGAGGCAGCACTTGTCAGTACTGGGGTTCCTCCTTCAGCCAGCAGTTCCCTGTTTATTTGTTTTTTGCAAAAATATTATTTCTATAAATATATGTGTGTGTGTATTTATATACTTATATATCTATAACTCCACCTCCAACACTGCCATGTGGCCCCTGCGGTTCACTTGGCAGACCAAAGCACATTGAAAACCCATTACACAGTGCCCATGCATCCATCTCCATTCCTGTACACCCACCTGCTGCCCTCCTCAGAGGCTTTGCCCCTGGATAAGTCTAGCGAGACTGCTCTGCACCAGGTGAGGTCTACCATTTCTTTCCCATCATCCTCTTCTGTCTTCCTGTAGTACCAGTACATTTCACCCAGCCCCATTTTAATACAGTCCTCAACCGTGGGGTCTGAGTGTCTGTATGTGAGCAGGTTCCTGGCTTTCCACAGTGCAGACCTGAAGCAGGAGATGAACTGGCTGAAGTGAGCTGCCGGGGTCCCTTGCTGTCTGGTCAAGTGCCCACTGAGGACCACTTCCCTGGTCTGGTCTCTGAAACCTGTCACCACGAGGAGGAGCGCACGGACTTTCTTCCACACCTGCCTGGCGTATGGGCAGTCCCAGAAGAGGTGGTGGATCATTTCTGCCCGCCAGCGGCAGGTCTGTCTTGGGCAGTTTGATGGACCTCTCTGCCCCGCGCTGTTTCTCCATGACCGAACAGGGAGTGCCCAGTGGGCTGCCTGCCAGTTCAGGTCCTCGTGCTTCTTGTGCAGGTCCTTGTGGAAGATTCGCTCCCACACGGCCTGGCAACTATCACCAGGTGGAAAGTCTACGGGCAATATGGAGCCTTCTTCCTTTACCACCTCCCCTATCCCATGGTGGTTCACCAGGGTCACGAGGGGATGGGAGCAGGGCCTGGGGGCTGGCATTGCCTGCAGGGGAAGGGGGCATGTCAGGGGGCTGTGGTGCACACCTGCCTTGCGGGGTGAAGGCAGCAGGGTGGGCATGCAGCCCTCAGGGCTGGGTAGGTGGCTGCCAGGGAGGGAGGGGCAACCCCCATTCCAGCTGCCCCTGGGCTGAATGCAGAGCCCTGGGGAATTAACCCTTTGGTGCTTGCACTCCAGTAGTGTGGAAGGGGCAACACAGTGAGTCCCAGAGCAGATATATGACCTTGCTCCCGGGGTCCTAGGACAAGGCTAAGAGCAGGTGGGAGCTGACTTCTGGTATCAGAGGAAAGACAGTGGCTGTGGGGCATCCAGGCTGGGTGGCTCTGTGAGGGCAGGGGGCCAGGGCCCAGGCTGGGGGCTGCAAGGGAGGAGGAGCAGGGAGGAAGGTCTCAGGGAAGGGGTTGCACCCTGCTTCCTGTCCTGGGGGACCTTCCAGCTTGCTCTCTCCTGTTGGACACTGGGTGGTGCTGACAAGTCTGAGAGCCCACAAGGCTCACTGCATGGATTGTCTCCCATGCGGGGACTGGGGTGGGGGTAAGAGCCCTGCCAGGAGCAGACTCCAGCCCTCCGGCCTCTTCCTGAGAAGGCAGCAGGAAGCAGATGCGGGGGAGGCACGGCACCAAGTTCTCCCTTTGTGGGCTTTCACTGGAACCAGAGCTCTCTCCCTCCAAGCCACAGCCCTCACCCTACAGGCTGCTGCCCATCTTCACCAGCACCCGGCAGGATATTGCCCAGCCTGGGGGAGCCTGTCCCAGTGGGGAGGGTGACTCATTTTCCATCACCACCTCCCTGCAGGCTATAGGGGCTCAGCTCTGCTCCCCTGGCCCAGCAGCCAGCTCCCCTGACAGCAGGATTGGGGTCATCTCAGTGCAGAGCCAGGGGTGGAGCCTGGGCTTAGTTTCTCCCTGAACCTGGTGTTACCCAAAAATTAGGCTACTGACAAGAGTTGGTTTCTTTTCATTGGGGTAGTTTATTGCAAAGGTACAGGGGAGTTATACACTTAGTAGAAACCATGAACTTATTAGGAATTGCATTACCCTACCATACACACACTTACACATACATACATGCATGCATTCTTGCAGATGACACACTTACATAATCTATCCCAAGGGTGTTGCAGGTAGAGATGGCCAGTCCTTATCCGTTGATGGAGCAGACTATCCGACTTGGCATGCACAGGCACGGGCTCTGGTGGTGAGGCAGGTTCTTCCCCCCATCATCCTTTGTCTTGCCCGCTTTTACACAGTTTGTGTTTCTGGACAAGATTTCTGGATGCTTCTTCTCCAGACATGCACTACTTGGTTGGCAAGTAACCAGCTCTTCCTTATCTCACCAGCTGGAACTGAACTTCTTGTCATGGATGTTGCACGGGCATTTGGTCTTCAATAGTCTGCTTCTAATTGCTGACATTACAACTTCCCCTTTCCTAGTTGTTTCATTTTTTCATACGATCTGCTTCTTCTTTATTAGTCCTACATACCGCATTCATACCTTCTGTTGCACAAGTTAGCAACCACCAGCACGTGTGCTGAGCACAGCACGCAAGGCCATTTTGCTCAGCACACCACCGCCAGACTGCTTTCTAGGCAGCTGCTACCAGCCATTAAGCCTGGGCTGATCCCAGCAGGCAGCTGGGTGGTTGCAAGCCCTACTGCAAGCAGACCAGGCTCTGTGGTTGGCAGCAGCTACCCAGAACCTGGGCCAGTTGCAGCCAGAAGGCTGCAAACATCTGCTCCGGGATCCAGCATTAGCTCCATACTGGCAGGTGCATGTGCATCTCAGAGCGGACAGTGTGGGAGTGGCCTGGGGCAGCGCAACCGCGGCTTCTCCCCAACTGCTGGCACAGAGGCGATGACAGGGCTCTAGATTTCGGTGTAGGTTTTTGTAGCCAGCCTGGGCTCTGGGCAGCTGCGGCAGGCAGCAGGGAAGCTGCAAACTGCTGTGCTGGGCTCCACAGCCCTGGCATCAGCTCCATGCTGGCAGCGACCACACATGCACCTCAGAGCAGACAGCAGGAGGGCTGTGCTATCTCAGGCCCTATCCCCACCATCTGCTCCGAGGCGCGTGTGCATCCACCGGTATGGAGCTGATGCCTGAGCCCGGAGCAGCTGTTTGCTGGAGCAGGGCTTGCAGCTGAGCCCACCTGACTCCCACCAACTCTGAGCCCAGCCACAGACCAGGTCCCCACCAGGATGAGGCTGGCGCTGCCCCTTGCCAGGAACACTGCACCTTTTGCAGGCTTAGCTGTGTGGTGAGGGTGGGTGGTTGGGCTGATGGGCAGGCTCTGGGCCAGGGTCTTGGCCAGCTGTGCTGCAGCCTGGGGCATGGCTCCCTGGGTTAAGCACAGGGGCTCTGGTGGGACGAGGGCATTCTTGCATTGGACTTTGTCCCATGGCCCAGGAGCTCGGCTCTGTGCATCTGCGCATCTGGTTCTGTGTGTTTGTCTGCTTCTCTCTGGTTCTGTGTGCCTGTGTGCACACATGTGCCTGGTTCTGGATATATGTGTGCATTTGGCTGTTCTGGGTGTGTTCTGGTTCTCTGTGTTTGTGCGCCTGGTTCTCTGGATGTATATGTGTGTGTCTGTGGTTCTCTCTCTGCTCTCCTTTTTCTTTTTCTTCCTCTGTCCCTCTCTCTCCTCTTTCTCTTATTTGTCTCTTTTTTTCTCTCTCTCATTGCAACATGCTCAACAAAAAATGAATACACAACAACAAAGGCAACATTTATGAATATTAAATATACTAATATGCAATGCATCCTGCCATAATCCATCCGTTCCCGCTCCCTCCCCATTTTCTTTTTCTGGCATGCCAGCACTTCAGCACCTTGCAAGGTAGACATTGTGGTTTTTTCAGCACTCTGGCTAAAAAATGTTGCCTCCCCCTGCTGTATTGCCTACTAGACCTATTAGTGATAAATTTTCTAACCTACTGGCTACACTGGGGCCTGTGGGGAGCTGTTGCTCTGTGGTGTATCAGCTGTTGCCCAAGCCTGGGAAACCTGCCTGCCAAAGGCAGGGAAATGGGGGCTGAGTTCAGGGTGGGCAATACCTTCCAGGAGCCTCAGGGCACAGGAGCAGTAAACCAGGGTGGGGGCAGTAGTAGGTGCTGTGCTGCAGAGGGGGCAGAAGGGGCACTGTTCTAGGCAGCGCCAGTAGTCCCCAGTCATAGACAGAGGCTTAAACATTGTCCCATGCTGGGGGAAGGCGGCAGTGTGGGGAAACCCAGGGTGGGAGGGCAGGGTTTCCCTCCCACTGAAGATGATAGGGCAGCACAGGGGTTGACCTCTGTGCGCAAGATGGTGAAGGGAGAAGTCTGTGTGGGCGGATGTGAAAGCTATCACATCCGCCCATTTCCGGCTCCCCTGCAATGATGCAGCACATTCCTCTCCCCCTCCCTGGCCTCTTTGTGGCCTGGGGAGCCCTGGTCGGTGTGTGGAGGGCTCAGATTCTGCAGCTCGGGCTGGTGGGGTGCTTGTGCAAGGTTGGGGGTGGGCATTGCCCCACCACTGATCCTTGCTTTCTTTGCAGCCTTCCCCATGGCATCCCCCATGCCCACCTTGCTGCCCCCCATGGAACCCCAGATCCTTCAGCTGCTGATGACCATGGTCTTCCATGACACCACCACAGCGGCTGACATGCAGGGCACTGCGATATTGGGTGATGTCCCCACCCACGCCATGGACTGTGGTACCTGCCCCATTCGCTTCCACCAGCCCTGGGCCCGCCAGGGGCTGACTCCCAAGCAGTGGACTGACCTGGAAAAAGCTATTCATCTCTACCTGGCACTTATCACCAATACAATTGTCACTGCGGTGCAAGGGACCAGTGTGACCTGTGAGTATAAAGAGCTTGGGGTGGAGGCTGAGCACTGACATGCTCGTTGCAGCCGTCTCCCACCTGGTGGGGTTGGGGCCACCAAGGTTCTTGTGGTGCCTGGCACTGGACAATGCCCCCTTGAGTGGGTGCAGGGGGGATCCCAGCTTGCTTGGGGAGGCCCTGATACAGCCTGGGTATTTTAATGGCTGTCAGAGGAGGTACCAGGAGGATCTTGCAAAACTGAAATGGTCGTCCAACCACAAAGAAAGAATGGGGTGTCCCTGGCACCATGCCACCATTTCCTCATTTTCCCAATAGCTCCATCCCTGCTCCCTTGGGCCTGACGATGCACTCCTACTCCTCTTCCAGTCCCCTTTGTGATCCAGATCCTCATGGGCTGTGAGGTCCTTCCCAATGGCACCTCCCACAGCTTTTACCAGAGCGTGCGGGACAGGCACGACTTGGTGAGGTTCAACCTGGCCACGGGTGAGTGGGTGGCTGCACCAGGGGATGAGATGGCACAACAGGTTCACCATAGCTTCAGCCAGGACCGGGGCACATCCAGCCGGCTGCAGTTCCTGCTCCAGACCACCTGTGTTGCTGGGATCCTGACCTTTGCCTACTACGGGAAGGAGACACTGAAGAGGCAGGGTGAGGCCAGACCTGCACTGGCATAATCCCCCCTGCCCTCCTGCTCAGGGCCCTCCTGCCCCCCACCCCACTCAGCCCCCCCGGCTGACATGGAGCTGCAACTTG